GAATCATTATTTTCTTTTGGGAGTGCAGCTCAAACGATTATGGCATCGATATAGTAGTATTGGTTCCTTTATTTCCTTTTTATTATGAGTTTTTTATTTATAATATAATAAAGAAAAAGATACTGGGTCTTTTTGGTCTTGCATATAATTCTACTGGCCTTCATGTTTTCAAGATGGAAAGACCAAAAGGAAAAGTAAAAAACCAGAGCTTTATTTACATTTCTCTAGTCACTGAGTCTCCAAAATGTACCCTTTTTCTAGATTCCTCCATTTCTGCTTGAATTATTATGATTCTTTGCTTTACCCAAGCTGGGCAAAAATGGAATCATCTTTGACAACTGTGTCTCTGTTCCTCTACTACCAGATGCCAAGTTCTATCCGTTTGTGTGTTTTTTTCTTCCTTTCTTTTTTTGGTAAGGTTTGTTCTATCTGTTCCTTCTTATTCAACCAGGGTTTCTATAATAATAGTAGCTTAAGGGTAGCAAAATGTTGGTTGGGGACAATGGGACCTGCCTCTTTTATTTCACGTGTTTGTTTATTTTTGGGTTGCTTGGATGACTATGACTTCCACCTTCTGTTGAATCCTTTATTTCTTAATGCCCAGTAGCCTGCCTTCAGTCTTTCTCTGCTTCAGTCCTTCCTGCATACAACTACCAGTGTAATCTTCCTGAACAAGACTGAATTTATTCTTCAATGACTCCCTAATGCCTACAAGGGCGACTACTGTAGGTTGACACCCACTGTTTAACGTCAACATACCTTTCAGAGATTAACCAATCATTTTTCCTCACAACTGTAGCACAGGGCAGGCTCTCTGGAATTCCAGTCTCCATGATATTTTCCACATATGTTACACCCTACCTTTTTCCTATCTACTTATTTAAATATTACCCTTCTTCAAGGCTTGCCTTAAATTCTGTCTTCTCCAAGAAGCTTTCATTGATTGGTAGAGCTCACAAAGCTGTATTTCATCCAGCCTAACACATCATCACCACTGTGTCATTCATCACTAAGAAAGAAAAAAAAAACCTATCGATTAAACTAGAATGCATAGCTTTCTTAGGATTTTAATTTTATTTTAATTGAAAAAGCTGTTTTAGACATAAACATAGATTTAAAAATCATCTATCACCCCTGTGCATCCATACAAAGACAAATGCAATGAATTAGTTAAGAAACTTCTAAAACTTCTTCACATTTAGGGTCTGACTTTTTCTGGATTTTCTTTCAATCTACCAACACCCATCATGTAAGTTGCAATGCTGGTGTTTTCTTGATCTTCCCAGAAGGTGTCAGTGAAGAGTTTCAGAAAACTAGCAGGACACATATTCCTTTCTTAAAAGGACTGTCCATGGTTTGTGACTGTAACATCAAGGTACTGCAGTGGCCCTGTTGTGCCATGTGGGGTGACAGCTGGGTCTGCACAAGTATTGGCAGGGTCACTCATTTCATGATTATTGTCTGATCAAGAACAATTGTAGGAGGACGTTGGATATAAGATGTACTCAATGCCAATATGGTTAAAAGTGAAAAGAAATGTGCAACTCAGAATGGATGACATATGGTTCATAAGGCCATAAAACTTATGAATGTGTTTCGTTTTGTTGGGTCTCAGTAAGACATTCTTAGAGAAGGGAACCCGTGAAAAATGTATAGATGGTAATTGATAAAACTTGGATCCACTCTTTTCTTGGGACATACTCAGAAATCTAGAGCAAAATTTCCAAATAGCTCTAGACTAACATTGGTGGGTTAGGTTAAGATCATTCCTTGGGAATTTGTCCTCTATGTTGATAGTGCCACTAATTGTCATCATAGCTCTTTTGTAAATAAAAAATGTGGTTATGTCTTTCATTTATTAGGTATCTATGAGAAGCCAGGAGTTTTAAATATATTTAAATCATTACCAGTCTGTTAGGTAGGTGGTTTTATTTCTAACACACAACACAGGAAACAAAAGCTCTAATGTCACTTAGCTAGAAGAGAACAGAGCTGGGATTTAAGTCCAGGTCCCCCAAATTGCACTTTTCTATTATGCCATATGGCATTGGTTGTACATACAGGGCTGCAAGGCCTAAAGTAGGTGACATTCATAATTTAGAGATAAGTTTAGGAAATTTTACACTTTGGGATATAAGCATAAAGTGGTAATAATTCAGAATATATGTTCAAATAGAGCTTATACCTTATTTTCTTTTTAAATAGTACTTTCCATAATTTGTAATGTTTTATTTATAATTATATGTTTATTTATATTATTGGTTTAATATCTGCCCCCAGTGAAGGTGGAAATGACTATTTTTCATTGATTATGAGATGTACGTTTTTCATATTTTAATTCTGTGAAATCAGAATGCACCTTAAAATTGATGTTGTATTCAAGTTTAATTGACAACATTTTATTTTTTCATTCTGAGTATTACATAGAATAATTATGCTTCTTACACTCAATATTTTTTAATGTTTGAGTAAATGTCTATTTTTATTATCTGTGCTATTTGTAGTACATAGCACAGTGCCTGGCCCCATAAAAGGTACTCACAAACTTTTGTTGAATGAATGAATGAATGAATGAAAGTGGAACTTAGAACTATTCCTGAAGGTAGTTGGATTTCAGGATGAAGTCTCCTGCCTATATGAGGCCCGTTACCCACTCTTGTTTTCTTATTATGCCTGACAGGATTTGTGTATGGCCAATATTTTTATCCTGGAAGGGTGCACTGTCCATACAGTAGGGCTGGAGAACTTCCGGCACACGTTCCTGTAGGTGGAGTTGCCAAAGCTGTTGCCTGGTGGAAACTTTGTAGGAAAACCTTCCTGACTTTTCTGCTGAGGAACGTTTGATAACTCTCCTCTAACTACCAGAAATCAACTGACGTTCTGGCAGAGACTGGGGGGTAGGTGGTCATCCGTGGATTAAGGCAGGCGTTTTGCTGTGTTTGTGCTACGGACAACTCTCAGCGAGCCTCTTTCAGGGGCCTAGGACTCTCAAGAAGATCTCTTAAGACATCCCTACTGTCTCTACCTTGCCATAGGGTGTTGAAATTCAGCCGCAGAGGCTTGAAGACTTTGCTGTGAAGCCTCAAGAGAGTCATAGTTATGCCTGCCAAACACGAAATGCACGCCATCAGCCATCTGTGGAAATCTTCCCAGAAAGTAACTCTCCTCAGGAGATGCGTTGTCAATGGGCTGCTGCTGAAATGAGGATGGTGCCTAAAATACCATCAGGGAAGCACCGATTTGAGTGTAATTAATGAAAAATAATCGGCGATGAAATGAATTGTAACATGTCTGTCCTGAGGTCATGTGTTGACAGAAGATTCTTGGGACCAGTACGACATGCCGAGCGAGGAGGATTGGATCAGGCTGCCATTCTCTGGTGCCCTTTCAGCAGCCCACAGAGGAGAGGGGCGCTGAGTCTAGACACCCGTCTTCACCACTCTTAATTAGAACAGGCGACAGCAACTTACCAACACCCAGAGATGTAAAAAATATCCTATGAACAAACTTGAACTTCCTGTGCTCTAGTTATTGGCTTACCAAATAATATTCAGGTCCAAATGCTGTCTCTTTATTAACCCCACATTGGAGGCCACACCCTGGCATTGGCTGTTCACCAGTTGAATTTCTCATATTCTGATATAAAATTACCTGGCTTTTAAGTCAGTCTCTAGTGGGTTGAATAGCAGGATATTACCAGGATGAGTTCCCAATTTCCTGATTATCCTTAGATGACTTAATAGGATTTGTGTTGTTGGACCTTGAATTCCAAGGACTAAATCATGGATTCAACAAGCCCAACCTTAAATGTCCTGCCCTACTCATTTTGATGAGAGAAACCTACATCAGAGATCTCTCAAAGCACTTGGCAGTGTGTCCCATTTTATCTTCACAGTAAGGATGATCAAGATGTTTAGCCACGTAGAGTAAACTACCTTGGCTCATGTGTATGTGCAACTGTGTGAACACAAGTAATTTATGAACATCATTTGCTATTTGCATATGAAATGGGCTTCTAGTTCTTTATGGGGGAGAAAATGGCTCCTTTGGGTCACAATTAGCCAATCTGGCAATTAGTCACAATTAGTCACAATGCTGGCAGTGAATTATGCTCGAAAAGTTGTTTAGACAAAGCAAGACTGAATTTCTCAACTTGAGCAATATATTCAGAGCTGTGGCTTCTCTACTTTGGATTTTGATATGGTTTAAAGTTTCTCATTGTTTAAAGAAACTACTTAAAAATCTCTATTGACTCAAAGCTTATTGTTGGCAGCGTATAGAATTAAATGAATATCAGAAGTTGTGTTGCAACTGAGCAGTTAAAATGCTTTGTTGGGATGATAAACATGATTAGGAGGCGTAAACTCTATTGTGTGTAAACAGTATTACCCTAACAACACAAGGCTTTGGAGTAGAGCAGAGGCATAGGGCAGAGACTCTAGAAGGAAAGCTTGGGTAATATAGGTGGACTTTTAATTTTTTTTTTTTTTTTTGAGACAAAGTCTCACTGTGTTGCCCGGGCTAGAGGGCTGTGGCGTCAGCCTAGCTCACAGCAACCTCAAACTCCTGGGCTCAAGCAATCCTGCTGCCTCAGCCTCCCGAGTAGCTGGGACTACAGGCATGCGCCACCATGCCCGGCTAATTTTTTTTTCTATATATTTTTAGTTGTCCGATTAATTTCTATTTTTTTAGTAGAGACGGAATCTCGCTCTTGCTCAGGCTGGTTTCGAACTCCTGAGCTCGAACAATCCACCCGCCTCGGCCTCCCAGAGAGCTAGGATTACAGGAGTGAGCCACCGCACCCGGCCTCGACTTTTAATTTTTATTCTGTGAACATAATGAATAATCCGTGCAAATTACGAATGGAGAAGTGAAATTCCCGTCCTCCAGGGACTTGCCATTTGAAAGCCTGTTGAGTGATGAGTATGTCCCCCAGGAGTTAGAAGACCATTCTGGAAGAGCTGACTCTGGCCAGTCCATAGGCTGTACAGACTGCTGCGATGTTTAGGATCGGTAGGAGACAGCTCTGGAAGCAGAGTGTCACCCGAGTTTTAACGGTAAGGAGCTGTTGACTGTTAAGTTTGCACATGTGTGGTGGATTATCATCTCTCACACCTGGGTGGAAAAATACCTCACAAAAGCTTAAAGCTATACATTGATGAGTTTGTGAGAAAGATGTTTGTTTACTAATTTTTGCATGGTGCATATGGCTACACATTGATATTTCAAATAAAAAAAAAAGATTTGCTTCTGTAGGCTTTTCTGCACATTGCTAACTAAACTATAACTGTGTGTAGAAATTGATGCTGCATCTTTGGGGAAGATTCTTGCCTGGAGCAAGAAACACATTCAGGGTGGTTTGGGAACTTTGTATTCTTTCAAACCCATAAACTTTTGTTGGTGATTCAAGAAAGTTAAGGCAGATTCTAGGCTGCAAGTCTTCTAGGCTCTTTGAAATCACTCTCCTGTTCTCTAAGCCTGGAAATGAGGTCACAGTGAGATGCAAGGATGTGCCTTTGGAAGTCACATTGAAGAATGAGTTTCCCTAGGACAGGGCTCCACCCAGTAGCTCTTTATTATGCAAATGCACAGAGAGGGATTTGGAACTCCTACTTTCAATTAATGTTGGAAGAAACTGGAGGTTTCTCTAGGACTCTGTTTTCAACACTAACCCGTGCTTCCTACCAGGCTTGATCACCGTATCTTTTTCTGTATCCCCAACAGCCTACATGATTCCAGCTAGCCTGTTGTTTTACCACAGAGCAGGAATGCTGTCTCTGCATTTGCTAAGTCCTCCACCACCTGCCACCCCTCACTTGCCCAAGCCCCATGATTCGGATGCTTCCTTCCCAAGGTTCTTCCTGCCAAGCACCTGAACTTGTTTGCTGGCAAACACTTATCTTTAAGACCAGTGCAAGTGTTGCCTTCTCTGGAAAGCCTCTCCCGACACTTTGAGGAGGAGGTGAGAGCTTCTTTCCATGTACCCCTTCAGAACTTCACTCCTATGTCTTAGGAAGTCCTTGTCACATCACTGTAGTGAAATGACATTGGTCTACATGTGTCTTTCCCTTGCTAGACTGTGAGTCCTAGAGGGTGGGGGGGGGCATCCTCTTTGTTTTTAAATAACTTTCCCTTAACACAGAGCTTGGCATATAATACACCTTTATAGATGCTTGTGGAATAAATGGAATGAATTAAACATTTCACAAGCCTGAACATTTTTCCTGTACTTCAGTACCAAGTCTGAAACATTACAATTGATTATAAATTCTCAGGTGTAACTAATGAATTAGATTCTTCTTTGACATGAGCTGTATTTTGAGAGGAAGTTAAGTATTTTGGAGGTTTCATTTATGTATTTAGGATGCTGGTTTGGTTCACTCCACTGAACTAGGATATTAACAGAATTATCTTAATAGTATTGCAGTATATTATGTAAATAATTACACATTTTATATTTGGTGCACTGTTACAAAATTGTTCAATGATATTTGTTAAAACATGGTAAGTAAGACTTTATTTGGGACCATCAAGATATGTATAAGGACCTTTATAGGAGGGGAGAGAGATTGGGCTGAACTCTGAATACAGTCTGGGTAACTGGGAATTTGCAGCCATGGAGCAGGGTGGGGGTCAGTGGATGGAAAATTACTAAGAGGAAAAATCAGGAGTGAGAGGGGCTTTTGGCTAACCTGACTTAACACAATTCTTGCTGAAGACAGGCCAAGGTGATCAGACATCTCCTGGGACATGGTGGAGGATGAGCAACACCATCAGATATTGGGGGACAGGTTTCTTGCTAAACTGACCTAGTAGGGTTTTTTGCTAAAACTGGATTTTACTAAGAAATGCACAGGTAGGCCTAGGAGAAGGTTCAGGAGCCTGACTAAAGTTGGCCAAGTAAAGAATCTTTGTCAACTGATATGACAGTTTATTAAATTATAACTTTGTGACCTGAAATGACAAACAGGAAAGATTCCGAAGTTACATAAAAACCATTAAGTCTGTATTTGTTTAACCTTGATCTGAAACTATTATTGTAATGATGCTATATTATAATTAGTTTACTGTAATACAATCATTGACTTTATCCATAAATATCCATGCCACTAACAACCAAATATACCATAAGCTCTATGGGTTTGGAAAAGTCAAGCCATATATCTTTTCTCTTCTATAATAAACACTATTAATTTTCAAGGAAAAAACTTGAAGTAATTCTGTATATATTCCCTCACTTATTTGCAAAAGTGTGGTTCAGATCTGATGTTTGCCTTTTTTCCGCTTTTCTCAAAGACAAAGAAAGCTTAGCACTAAGTTACATGCGTGCAATGGACGTGAATTCCAGACTTGTGGTTTTTGTTTTTCTTTACTTCCCTAAAATGAAACTGAAATATGTCATTTTGTTGGTTGACTTTATTGACTTTTAGGAAAAAGACCAACTTGGAAGACATATGATAGACCTTTGGCTGTTAAATTAACCTAATTGCAAAGCTGGCTTTAAAATGGAGAAAAGTTTTTTCCCCACTGCAGGAATACATAGTGTTCATGTTTTATACTGTATATATTTACGCTAGGGAATACTGTTGCTCAGGGACTTTCAAATTGCTAGGGATTTTCTATAAACAGTGCTTCTCTTGTGGGTAGAAGCTGTGGGGGAAGAGAGAGAGGGACGCCTCCTTCCCCTGCTGGGAACTCTGCAGGAGGGCAGCTATTGTTTCTGTGGGTGCACAGTAGAAGCCAAGACAAAAAGAATCTTTGCTCTCAGATATCCTTTGAAATCTGAAAGGCTGTCAGTTTTGTTATTCTCTTACAAAATAGACAAACAATTTTCAGTATCATCTGTTAATCAGTCCCAGACCTCTTTGGTCTGGTCAACAAATTTCACATATATCAGGTCAAAACAATTTCCTTGGAGCACTGGAAGGTGAATGGCTCTAGGATTTAGCTGCGAAGTGGAGAGGGAAAAGGGGCTGCGTGTTAAGGCCCAGTGAGTACTCTGTAGCCTTAACAGGGTGAGGTTCAAAGGAGCCCACATCATAATTATGCCATAGCTACACCCTGGGGGAATGTGACTCTGTGTGATGTGCAAAATTCATCCCTTCCACAAATATCTCTTGAACGCCTACTTTGTACCAAGCGTTGTGCTCTGTGGTATGGTAGACAAGAGCCCTTCTAGAGCCCGTGGAGTTTAGAGCTGAATTTCTTCTTCCTATTATTCAATTTTTGCGCAATTCCATTAAGGAGAAAAAAGGGGTCTAGAGTTAGAAGGACCCACAATTTATGCCCTTGGACTGTCTCTAAGTTCCTACCTCAAGTGAAAACCTAGTCATACTAATCAATCGTGATCAAGTCATAAAAGGACTTCCTCTAGCGCAGTGATCTCGGCCTGGGCTGCACATGGGAATTACCAGGGGAGCTTTTGAGAAATACCAATGACTGGGTCTCCCTCCTGACCAGGTAAATCAGAGCTTCTTACAGGTGGGGGCCCAGGCATCAGTATTTTAAGACTCCCAGGTGATTCTAACAAGGAGCCAGTTTTAAGCACAATGATCTGTTGTATGAGCAAGGGAAGTTTGGGAATTTCACTCCTGGGCCATATATAATGTGAATGATGACATATATTTTGAGCACATGGGTAAAAGCCAGCCTGTACTGCCAGAGGGAAACCTTGGACTTCTAGAAGAGAGGTATTTCTGATTTTAAAGTGAAACCACTGTTGGGTAGGGGAAGATAGAATATATGGCCATGTGAAGGTCCACAGAGTATCATTTCAGGTCCAGAAATGTGGTGTGCAGAAAAAAAATCTAAGTTAGAATTTGGATGATGGAATGGCAGGAGCTTGTGGTGGAGGGGATATGCGTACAGCAGGTTTTGGGTTGGCCTGGGTGAAAAATTCACACACGTTAAATGATAAAGAGAGAATCTTTCATTTGCCTGGAAAGAATGGGAGATAAGAGAGTTAGTCCTTGGGGAGGTTTAGGGACCCTGAAAACTTCAGTGAAAATAGACAAGATTCCAGGACACAAGAAAATTGATGGGTACCGTACTTTTAAATGCCAGTTCTTTGTAGTAGAGGGGGAGTGTGGCTCTTGTTAAATAAAGGAGGGCTTCACTAAAGCACCTGCTGTGAGTGGGATTAGCCAGCGTGGAGTCTCCTTCCCTTCCGGAAATCACTTTACTGAAGTGTTCTTAATTCGGGAAGGAGGTGCAGCGCTTCCTCTGCAGCTGTGGCCCTTCACCTGGAAAAATGAAATGAAAGGGGAGTAAGAAAAGGAAGGCAAGATGTGAAAGTACAGTTAGGAGTAGAGAGTTTCTAAATTGTCGTTCTCCCAGCCAATTAAAGAGCAGGTTAGGATGGGCCGGGAAGCATCACAGAGCAGCCTCTCCTCTCTTGGAAAGGCTGGGAGAGGAAATGGGGCCCTTGTGGGTTGAAACAGAAAAGCTGCAAGACAGAGAGGAAGGATTTTCTCTGTTGGAAAGTGTGGGAAGGGGGTTAACTTTGCAGAGAGGGCTCTGAATGGCATAGTAGCAATGCAACCAGGGCAAACGATGCAAAATGCACCTTCAGGAGGGTTTGGGTAAAGGGAGTCCCTGCTCAGGCACAAAGGGGCTCAGAGGCCCAATAGCCCATCCGCCATTCACTTCTGCTGGCTGTCAACAAGCTCAGCGGGGTGTGTTATGTCAGAGACAAACCTGCCAACAAGGTGGCACTTTCTAAGGGTAGAGGGAGCCTAAACATTTGTATAATTCAAAAAATCATTATTAAAAAGTTTTGTTTCACCTAAATTTTGATGTCCAGAGTCAAATTCTTGGTCAGGTCATTTTAATTCAAGTGCTATCAATAGTTGATTTAGTATTATCTCCAGACCACATGCAGTTTCATCCTCACAAACATCTTTCGGTTTGGGACTTTCATCTCCATTTTATTTTTATCTTCATTTCTTGAAGGGCTCCCATGTAGTTGAGGATTATCAACCTAGAGCCAAAATGAAACACTGATCATGTGTGTAGTTTATACACAGTATGTGTATATAAACACGTGGTTTTTGGTTCTGCAGAGTTAAAGGCAAAGGTTAGTATTTAAAACAAAATTGGATGAATGGATTAGTTTTGAGAGAAAATCACAGAGCTTTCTGAAAGCACATAGCTTTGGGGTCTTCATTAGGATCTGTATTTTAAAATCTCAAGTCTGCAGTTTGTATTATTTTTTAAACCAATGAGAAGTAGCCCATATGTTAGAGAAAAAAATGGACCTTGGTTGTCACCTAGTCCAATGCTTTGATTTTGGAGTCGAGTGGATTGCAGCCTGGAGAGGTTCAATGACAGATGTGAGCTCTTGCAATGAGTGGCAGGGCTGGGACTGGAACCTACCACCCCACTCTGACATCAGTGCTCCTTTATCTGTGGAGACTGCCTTGCCTGGGAGGCAGTGCTCCTTTCTTGTGAGGTAGTACGATAGTCACTCTCCACTCTCCCATTCGCTGGTGGTAATGACACACCTTGTCACAAATTGCAGACATGTTTTAATCTTAACTGCACTATGCCTTCACTCTCCAAGTATCCTAGACGTTTCCAAGGCCAGTGGGACAAGCCAGCTCCAGACAGCTAGTCACCTGACTGCTTGTTGCTGCAATTCCATAGCAACCAGAAAGCTGCAGGGCTAAGTTTATGGATTGATAATGCACTGATCTGATCACCAAATATTTGTTTGACATTATTGACTTTATTGTGGTGGTGAAAAATAAGTCTCATATTATCAGCATACCTTGGTGTAATGCAATGAAAGTTGAGATTGATAAACACTGTGGTCTTTCATCTACATGGCACCGGGGTTGACTTCGTGTTACTTGTCTTTAGGTGACAGAACAATGAGCTTAAGTAAGACCGTATTCAAGTCTTAACATGCTTATTAATACAGTTCTGAAAACATTTACTTTAAAAACATGTTGATAATTTGCTTTGTATACATAAAACTACTTTGCAAGTTTCTTCTGGGATATTTACGTAAAAATAGAATAATTAGGGTTCTGTTTTAGGGACTGATCTCTTTTCCTTCATTAGAATATTTTTTCCCCCTCCGGAATCTTGTACAATTGGGCCATAGAGTAATGTGTTACCGTAGCAGAATCTTATTTAAATCTCTGTATTATTTGGAAGGCTTCAGTTGGTTTCCATCTTGAATCTTCTGGCTCTCTACTTCTTTTCTTTCTCTTTTGTTTTTTTGGCTACTGAGCATTTGCCATTTCTTTGTTTTGTTGCTGGATTCCTGGCTCCCTGGGTTGACCTCCATGTTCTCAAGCTGTTGGAGACATTTAGTACAAATTCAGAGAGAACACTTACAAAAAAGTCTTTTATTTCTCCCTGCCAGGAAGGTAGAAAACAGTTCAAAACGACAGGACATCTTCCTGGTTTTAGTGACATTTGAAAAGAGGTTTAAATTGACTTCTATTTGACATTTATGGAATGTGTACTTTATGTTAGGACCTGTGTTATAATAGTTCATTTTTAGAAAAATGGCAATAAAATAGGTAAACTGTTTATTTTTTTTAAAACTTTAATCCTTCCTCCCACCACCTGAACAAAATTGCCTCACAGGTAGTCCTCCAAGTTCAGAGAAATGAATGTAAATAGCATAGGTCTAGCAATGACTCTTCAATTGTTTTAGAGTCAACTTTCTGGAAAGAGTAGTTCATATTCAGTATCTGTATATTTCTTTTTTCTTAATCATCTTTTTCTCAAGTCTACATCCATTTGCTTTCTGTCCAACAAATGAAATTATTTTAACTAGATTATTGTATATTGTTGCTTAACGACCATAACTACACTGAAGAGCCTAAAGCAGCAGCAATCATCTCTTGATTCTGTGAGTGGGCTCAGCTGAGCAGTTCTTCTGCAACAGATGGCATTGGCTGAGTTGCAGTCATCTCTAGGGCCAACCAGGTTGGAACATCCAAGCTAGCTTACTCAGATGGCTGCAAGCTGGTTCTGGGGTCAGCTAGGAGATCAGTTGAGGCTGTTGACCACAATGTTTTGGTTTTTCCTCCATGTGGTCTAGCTTGCACTTCTCACAGCATGGCGGCTGAGTTCTGAGGGAGCATTCCAAGCACAAAGACAGAAGCTGAAGATCTCTTAAGGATAGCCTAGGAAGTTGCCTTGTCTCACTTCCCCCCAGATTCTTTTGATCAAAACTGGTCATAGGCCTTGCCAAATTCAAGGGGAGGGGAAATACAGTTTATTTCTTGACAGGTAGTGGCATAATCACAATGCAAAAGAGCCGTGGGATGCTGCAGCCATCTTGTAAACATAATCCCTAAAGCTATCCTAACGAACATAGTCCATTCTCTGTAGCATTTATATTATTGCCATTCTCTGTGGTTTACTGAAGCTGCTGTTTCCTAGTTCCCTTTCTATCTCTCTGCACATTCATCTGTAGTCTTCTCCATTTGCACTTCTTTCCCTCCTTGCTCCTGGCATATTGGCATTCCCCAGTTTTCCTCACTGCGTTGTCTTTTCATCTCCATATCTTGGTTAGAAAATCATATCTGCATTCATGGTTTAAACTTTGATTTATTTAATCATTTGAACAATATTTATTGAGTAATTAGCATGCACATACCATCTGCTGGATGAAAGGGCTGCTGACACAGTTTTGCAGTTTCTGTACTGCACAACTTCAAAAGATGCCATTCACATTGTAGCTTTTATATTGACAGTCTTATCTATCTGTGTCTCCTATGACTATGTCTATGTCATATCAGTGGTTCTCAACAGAGGGGTGATTTTGTCCCACAGGGGACATTTGGCAATGTCTGGAGACATTTTTCATTCTCACAACTTGGTGGTGGGGATCTTCTGCCATCTAGAAGTTAGACACCAAGGATGCTGCTAAAAGTCTCACAGCACACACAGGACTGCCCCTCGCACCAAGAATGATCTGGCCCATAAAGTCATTGTGCTGGATTGAGAACCTGCATGCACATCTGTACCTGCAGTGCCATTTCCCTTTGAACTCCGGATCCAAGTTCCAGTGGTCTGTCCGCCACGTCTCCCTGTGTATTGACTCACCTCCAAATGCAACGCGTCCAAAAGCTCCTCTCATGGTTGTGTTGCTTCAGCCTGGGCCGTATCTCAGTCTCTGGGAAGGCCACCGTAACCCACCTGAGTGCCTCCAGGCTCACGTCGCTCCAATCCACTTTCCACACTGCTGTCAGAATGATGGATTTTTCGATGCTGCACAGACAGCTAAACATCTCTCTCTCCTGATTTAAAACTCACCAGTGATTCTCCATGGACTTCAGATAGCATTTAAACTTTCTAATGTGGTTTGCAAAATATTTCATGATCTGACTTTTTTTCACATTTCCTATTATGTTTTCTAGTCCTTTTCTGTTCAGGCAGCATGACTGCCTTGTGGTTTCTAAAATGTGCTATGTTTTTTTATGCCTCTCGGTCTTTGTATGTGCAGAAAGGCCTCTGTCCTAGGAGAATGGCCAGACTTTCTTTAACCCTAGACTTGAGCCACCTCCTCCTGAAAGCTCTCCTGCCATCCCCACCTCTACCCTCCTCAGCCCCAGGCTAGAGTGGGAGATCCTCTTTTTTGTGCCTTCTCCGAAGCCCCATAAATGCTTCTGCATTTGGAGACCCATAAATTCGATGCCCCTGCAGCAACTGTCAAGCTAATTGTCATATTTATATTTTCTTTCGGCTCACATCTTGCCAGCCAGGCCACGACTTTTTTTTGAGATTACCAGGTAGTGTTAGCCTCTACAGTGCTGGTGCATATTTAGGCTTAATAAATGTTTGTTGATTAAAAGGGATCCCGAGGGACTACCTTTCCTCTTCCTAGTGGGAGCTACTGATTGGTGTTAAAGATAATGTATTTATTCCAAGAACTGGATTGGAAGATGACTGTCCACCAATGACAAAATGGTTAAATAAATTATGGTATATCCATATTGAATATTTTGCAACTATGACACAGGTTTAAATATCTGTATTAAACTAGAAAGAAGCCTGTGATGTTAAGGGAGAAATGCATAAAAAATGTTGTGGTAGAATATAAATGTGGATGTGCATATGTGTTTGCATATGTTTATATGAGCATAGAACATAAAAAAAGATATGCTTCAAACTGCCAACATCAATTTCATTAAGCATACTTTATTACTATAATTAACAACTAATAGTCAAAAAGTAGGTACTGGCGTTCAGAAATTAATTTCAAGACCACACATGAATGTATAGACAATAAAGGTAGGAGCTAGTGTAGAAAAATACTACTTTAATGGCTTAGGAAAATGTTTACGAAAATGGGGATCTCTTTTTTTGTTTATCTGTTGAATGCTTATATATGCATAGAAATAAGTCTGTAAAGATTTGGAACAAAATGTTAACAGTAATAATTTCTGGATGGCAGATGATTTTTATCTCTTCTTTTGGCTTCTCTGTGTTATGCAATTTCAACACAACGAGCACACCTTATTTTCATAAGAGAAATAACATTATTTCTAAAAATAGAAGATAGTACATAAAAACTGGTACCATTAAGCTGTCTGTTATCTGAATACCTAAGACTTGAAAAAACAACAATAGCATGAAATTATTACCAAATGAATCCATTTGAGAACAGCAGTCGCCATGTAACATTTTATTCTTTTCTTTTAGCAAAGACTGAAGGAAGAGAAGGAAGCCAAGCGGGCTCTTTTGGATGCCAGGCATGACTACTTGTTTGCGATCGTGGCTTCCTGTTTGGACCTGAACAAAGCTGAAGTGGAGGATGCCATTCTTGAGGGGAATCAGGTGTGATGCATTTGGGTTCTCACTGGCGTGATTATGGTGGGCACAGAGGGTCAGTGACACTGTCCTTTCGCAGGACCCTGGGCTGTGCCTCAGAGGGTGTCTGCTTTAACACACACAGGGCTTTATTCTGACTCCCTACTGGTAGTGACACAATGAGCTTAGGGCTCTTCTGCTCTCCACCTTGAATAGGGGAAGTCATCATTGTCATTTGAGTTCCATGATTCTGATGACAATGTCTGCATGCAGTGAAGCTGGGCTCTCATGCCATTTTGGGATCTGAGGTTGGGGAACACAGTCTCTTCTCAAGCTGCTGATTAATCTTTTTTTGCATTTATCCTGTCTTAGGATTGGAGACTAAAGTGTGCCATGCTTTTCTGGCTTTGACTTTGGTTTGGCAGCTGAATCTGGTTTCCTTTGTTCCTAGCCTGGAGTTCCATTTTCTGCTATGATTTCTCTCCAAAACCCAGGGTGTGAATTGATTTTGGATGGGGAAGGCCAAAATATGGGAGGATATAATTTCCTGGGCTGTGAGAAAGGAGTATCAGGAGCCCTATGATATGATGTTTTTTTTTTTTTTTAAACTAATTAGGCATGAGAAAAAGCAAGCAAGCCCTTTTTGTTGCCAGAGTGGCATACTATATTGATAATCCTTTTTGGTGGTAGGCTTGTAAATGTTTAACAACTGGCTTTGGGCAGGGTTGTTGGGGAGGAGGCACTAGTTGAGTATTTGCCAATTTCTGTGGTGTAAATACTCCTGCCCTGGCTGTTTTAAGCCCACCGTCATGATGTTACTGAGGTTGAGTTGGAAAGAGTTGTGAGCGATTGGATCTCATGGGCCAGTACAAGTGGCTCCGGCTCACCACTGGCTTCATTCCTTCCTGCTGGGCTACTCTGGGGGGTTAATAGGAGTCAGGGGAACAATCAAGGGTGGATAACACTAAAATGTGTAAACTCCGGGGTGAACTAAACAGGAGCTGAGGAAATGTCCTTCTCCTCCTCTTTCTCCTTCTCCTCATAGCTAACATTTGAATGTTTACCATGTGTCAGGCCCTGTTCTCAGTGATTTTCATCTATGATCTCATTTTAATCTTTATAGCACCAGGAGGGAGGTAACATTATTCCCCAAACATGGAGGCATAGGAGGAGACAGGGCCATTTGGGGAGATTGAGCCAGAGACGAAATGCTTGACTCCACTTGCTTCCCAATCCAGACTTCTGGATTTGGGGTAATGCAGGTGGAATATGTGGGAAAAAGTTTGGATCTGTAGGAATCCCAAGTTAAACTCTTACATCAGTTTCAGGATGCAGGAACGTCAGACCCTGGAGGTTTAAGAAAGCATCTGGCTGAGGCTCTCAAGCAAGGCTAGAGGGATGGGAGTGTTAGTACTGGCTGCGATGGAGGGATCTCCTTCACGACATTCTTGGCCTAGAAGATAATCTCAGTGAGTCCTTCCTACTCATCCCTGTGGCATCTTCAGTCAAGGAAATGTAACAAAGAAAACAGTTTAACATTTTATCTATAGCATGGTGGAAATGGAAGGGGTCTTATTTTCACACTTAAATTTTCAGGCTAGATTTTATCCTTTAAAAAAATTATTTTATGTTGTGGTAAAATACACACAACATAAAATTTACTATCTTAACCATTTTAAGTGTGCAGTTTGAGAGTGTTAAATATGTTCACATTGCTGTGCAACAAATCTTCAGAACCTCCACTTTTTTTTTTACCTTCCAAACAGAAACTCTGTTCCCGTTTAACAACATCTCCCCAATCCCCCTTCCTTCCACCACTGGCAACCACCACTGCACTTTCTGTCTCTAGGAACTTGGGTACTCTAGCTACCGCATGTAAGGGGAGTCATACAGTATTTGTCTTTTTGTGATTGGCTTATTTCACTTAGCATAATGGTTTCAAGTTTCCTCCCTGTTGTAGCAAATGTCAGAATTTCCCTCCTTGTTAAGGCTGAATAATATTTCTTTGTATACGTACACCTCATTTTGTTTATCCATTCATCGTGGTTTCCAGCTTCTGTGGAAGCTATTGTGCATAATGCTGCCATGAACACAAGCGTGCAAATATCTCCTTGAGACTCTGCTTTCAATTCTTTGGGATATATACACAGAAGTGGAATTGCTGGATCTTATGGAAATTCCATTTTTTATGTTTTGAGGAACCTCCTACACTGTTTTCCACAGCAGCTGCACAAGTTTTCATTTCTGCCAACAGTGCACAAAGGTTCCAGTTTCTCGACATCCCCACCAACACTTGCTAAGATTTTCTGTTTTTTTGTTTTTGATGGCAGCCATCCTAATGCGTGTGTAGATTTTAACTCTTTTTCTTCTCATATGAATTCCAAACTGTGCTATTGACTGTTTAAAACAAGGACTTCTGTTGGTAGCAGGCCAGGGGTCAGACCTCTGGACTTACAGGGAAGCTTGTGGGTGGCGCTAAGTGCTCGGTTGCTACTGGAAGGAGTGTTTGTAGTCAGATGTGTTCTCATGGCAGTTTTCAGTGATTATTGCAATTTCATATTAATTATCTCTAGTGCGTTAGACTGAGTTTTGAAAGGTTTATTCCCTCTTTCTGATCTGCTGTTGACTGCAAATGAAACACTCATCTATATTTATATCTGCCTTCAACAGCTCAACACTTTAGGAAATTAGCAGAAATGGAGGGACAGTCCTTTTTCAAATGTGCATATGTAGCAAATATTTCTATGATTAATTAAATTACTTTTTTGAAGGAATGTTTGGTATGGTGAGACATTTATTCTTTCATGGTTTTTATGTTGAAAAACAATGCTCCCTTCCATATAGGATGCATTAGATACAGTCCTGTTTGAATAAGAAAGATGATAGTAATTTTACTTTTTAGTAATAACAATGCTGACTTATGTGCAATTTCTAATTTACAACAAAAGTAGTTATGTTGCCTTTTTTCCCCCCAGATTGAAAGAATCGGTCAACTTTTTGCAGTTGGAGGTCTCCGTCACCTCATGTTTTACTACCAGGATGTGGAGGTAGCAGAAACAGGTATCCACATTTGATGTGACATAACCCAGAAGTGTGTCATTAGATTTATGCAAGGGTGGCTTGCAGAAGAAAGCCACTGTGAGAACTGACTTCTTACCCTTGGGGTTGGGGGTGATGTGGGGAACTGTACATGTGGTGGGGGTGGCCCTGTGGGAAAGGTTCTGTCTTCACCCCAAGGATAGAGGACAGATAATGGCGGGTATTTAGCCTGGTTCTTCTGGCTTTATGGGGAATGTTTTGTTTTGCTTCTCAGGCTGTGCTGGCAATAAGGGAATAATAAAGTAGATTATGTTTGGAGACGTCCTTTTCTTATATTCTAGTTCATTCTATGTAATTATGTTCTAGAACTTCTAATGAGAGTCTGTTTCTCATCTATACAGGCATTATTTCTTTTTAACATAGGAATTATTGCCAGTAAGTGTAACATGAATTTTTCAGTTAGATATCACATTATGTTTATTTTCTACTGCCTGTTTTAAATGAGTAATATTGAATGACGGTTTTGATCATTTTCACTTAAAAAAATTTACAAATCTTTCTATGGATTCAACTGGCATATCTCATTCTACTTTTAAGTGGATTAATATAACTTTTAAGGCCAAACTAGGAACATAGTGAATATGTTATTAAGTATGTTAATATATTAAAGTATCATATATATCATTTTATGACCCATTTGAAAAAAAAGGAAAATAGGTTATTGCTCTTGGCATAGAATATGAGTATGCTTTTTTGTTTAAGAACTGAAGAAATTATGCATGCAAATTCTAACTGACTGGCATTTTCTCAAAGTTATCAATTTGGTATTTTGTGTTCAGAAAGTTTATTATGTTTTGAGTATAAAAAAAGAAAGTTGCTTTGATTTCTACCCCAGATTGCAAAACATAAGCTCAAATGAAATATCAAGTTCTTCCATGAACTGTGCACTGGGTAAAGCTGGCCTACCTGTGTAAATTTTACACAAAACAAGAAGGGTTCATAGGATATAAACATAAATGCAAGTTTATTTTTGCTTGTCACTCTCCCTTTAAACCTTTTCAGTGGCAGTAGTTCTTCTGACTGTGGATTAAAATTCAGGCAATCCTGTGACATTCCTGGATATTGTTAGATAAAAATCTCTATGGTCATTTCAAATTACAAATGCAATCTCAATTCAAAAGTAAAAAAATGTCCAGTTGATCAAAAGTGAAATTTCCCCATCCTCACCTTTGAGGCTCCATTCCCCGCAGCCAGGGCCTCTGATGGGTGAAGTTTGCAGTGGGAGAGGAGTGTGTGGTCCTTCTCTGCTTCTGCAACTTCTTCCATGCCTTGTCTATGTTGGGAGGCAGGGCAGAGACAAGAGATGGTACAGTCTTTTCAAAACTGGCACAGCTGTGAGCTGGCTGACCTCGCACTCTCTACTCCTGCTCTTGCGGATCCTGTGGTGGGTTCTCCCAAGGTTACCACTGGGAGCACAGGCTGTGTGTCCCATGTTGATGGGCTGTCCTCACGATGGCCGCTGCCCTCTGCCTCTGTAATTTGTAATTTGGCAGTAAACGCCAGCCTGATTTGCTCTGTCCTATCATCCCTCAGGTGCTTTTTTTGAGCAAGATTTAAGGTGGCTCCAGTCTGGCTCTTTTCAGGGGAGCCTCCACCTGGTTCCCTCAAAACACTATGTCCGTCACTCCTGCCTTCTGTAGAGGTGGTGTTAGGTCCCAGCTCAGCCCAGTTTCTCTCTCTCTGTCTTACTGCACACTGTGTTTAGATTTCCTGGGCAGGTGCCATATCCCCTTCCATTTTCTTCTTAAACACCAGGAGACATAAATCAGGCTCTTGAGGTGGTTGGATTGAAGACCCTGTTTCTTGAGAAGGGTGACCAGCTGTCCTGGTTTTAGCATGGAATGTTCCACATCCCAGGAAACCCCTCAGTCATGGGCAAACTGAGACAGCTGACATCTCTTTCTTGACCTGAGGTTAACAGTAGGAACACTTCACACCCCTATCCTTTACATAGCATAACTGTCCTTGAAAAATCCTTCCTCAGTCCACACTCTCTTGACCTTTTGGGATTCTAATGGGGGAGGGGAGAAAGTTTACTCAGTTCTAGGGCAACTACTTTGAAATTTCTGCAGTACATATTTTTGGCCTTAAAACTCTCTTTCTTGTCTGATATCTTTCATATCTTGGTACCTTCATCAAAACGTCTTGTCTAACATTTTATTACTCATGAGACCCAGGTGGTATTAGTCAGAAGTGGGACACAATTTTGAATGAGAAAGAGAGAGAGAAAGAGATCTTCTAGTTATTTTTATTGGGGGTTCACTAAGTCCGAATCATACTTTCTCTATCCCAGCACCATCAGGAGGAAGAGCCTGAGGGAGGATTACTCCAAGAGGTTCTAATCCCAGGGCTTTAGGATTCAACATCCAGTCCACTGCCCTCCCCAGAGTCCTTCATTTACACCATCCTCCCACCCCAATAATCTTGACTGAGCTACCAGTTCATTTGAAGCTCTAAACGTTTCTCGGGCAGATGAGAACACAATGGAATATGTCAGAGCATATTCTGTGCTTAAATGATCTACTCAATGAGCTACATGCTTGGATAAGCAAAGATGAATTTTCCAATTAATGATTATAATTACTGAACTGGTATTTTTATATGCATTTCTAAGGGCTTTACATGTATTAACTCATTTAATCTTCACAAAAATTCAAGATATTTAGTTCTAGTATTATTCTTCTCCTTTTTAAGATGAGAAAACTGAGGCACAGTAAGATGAAGTAACTTGTCCCAGGTCACATGGCTGGGAAATGTAGCCTGAGATTGAAGTCCCGGGGGTCTGACTCTAGAGCACACACTAGTAATCAGGGTGTGGTCCCACCGCTGTTTCATCCGACTGCAGCGGTCTACTGAGGGACCAACCAGCTACGCTGACTGTGACAGAGTAGGGACAGCTGGGAGAGCAGGGATTCTGTGTGCTGTAGTCTGAGCTGGATTTTTGATTTTGGCTCTGCCACATATTGGCCGTTTGACCTGGAACAGGCCACAGCTGCCTCAGTGTTGAGGGACACAGGGTGCCCGGCAGAGGGCCAGGAACACAGCACGTGCCAATAGATACTTTCTCCTCCTCCATCCTTTCTTACTGCCCCCGGAGCAACGATTTTGACATGAACCCATGATCTGGAATCAAACCAATTCCTTTAGATCTCTTTAGGGCTCATGCTAGAGATTGTTTAAGGGGTGGCCCCGTCTAGGGCACATGGACAAGTCATCAATGGCTATACTTTAACAAGGAAACTCCATGCCAAGAGGATATAAATGTAAATGGCATTTGTGCAACTAAAATTCTTTTGCATTTGTAGGACAACTTGGCTCTCCAGGAGGGGTAAATCTTGTCTCTGGAAAGGTTAAAAAACCTAAGGTGTTCGTGACCGAGGGAAAAGATGTGGCTCTCACGGGCGTGTGTGTGTTCTTCATCAGGACGGACCCTTCCAAAGCCATCACCCCTGAGAACATCCACCAGGTGAGGACAGGAGTACTTGTTTGCCCTGAGTTACCAAAATCACATACATTGCACAAAAATGTCCCTCCTGTGGAGACAACCATTGTGTTCATGACAATATCTAAAACTACTTTCAAAGAGACATGTTTTTAAGCATTTAAAGCAAGGAATTAAGAGGACATTTTCTTTAAGTCTTTGGAGTAAGAGGACTTAATGTTCAGTTTATTAACAAAACTGATAGAACATTTTGCATGTGTGTCTAACAGTGAAGTCTTTCTTTTTAAAAGGAAATCTCCATACATAATTTACTTAATGGCAAATTTCATACATTTAACATAAGATTTTTAAAGTAGATGTATAACTTTATTTCTTGTGCAAAGTAAAGTGTATTGGTACACGTTTTCTCTGCTTCCCAATGGGTACATTAGCTTCTTGGAGCAAATAAACTGGTAAACATCTAGTGTTACTACTTATTTCATGCTTTTATTTTGGTGATTACAATTGAGAATAGTATAAAGCTTCTTTCTTTTTTTATTTCAGGGTATTATGAGGATACAAACATTATGTTTACACTTTATGTCTTTGCCTCACCCAAGCGAGGGTTAGAGGCATGCCCTTCCCCTCTACAATGCTCCCTGTGTCCTTTAGTTGCAGGTTTACCCCCCTATCTCCCTAATCCCTGGAGAGTATTACTGCCACGTGATCACCCTAGTGTTCATCAGTTAGTACCAATTGGATGGCGAGTACAAGTGGAGCCCATTCTTCCGATCTTGTGGTGCCTCACTTTGGATAATGGGCTTAAGTTTAATCCAGGAAAGTATAAGAGGTTCTGGATCACTGTTGTTTCTTATGATTGAGTAATATTCCATTGTGTACATATGCCAGATTTTAATAATCCACTCATGGGTTGACGGGCACTTGGGTTGTTTCCACATCCTTGCAATAGTGAATTGTTAAAGCTTATTTCTTAACCAGGTTTTTTAACTAATAATTTACTGAGTGTTTGGTTCATTAACAAACTTTAGAAATGACCTAGTAGCTCTGTTGTAGTTGTACATCATTTTCACAATAACGGGTCTCCTAATTGTTTTCCAGGAAGTGAGCTTTAACATGTTAGATACTGCAGATGGAGGCCTGTTAAATAGTGTGAGGCGTTTGCTGTCGGACATCTTCATTCCTGCGCTCAGGGCCACGAGCCACGGCTGGGGTGAGCTTGAGGGCCTTCAGGAAGCATCCAGCATTCGCCAGGAGTTCTTGAGCTCCTTAGAAGGCTTCGTGAGCGTCCTGTCGGGCGCACAGGAGAGTTTGAAGGAGAAGGTAAGGACGAATAAGTTATTCCTTTAAAAATGATCAAAGGGTCAAAAAACACAATATGTAAGCGTGGATTACTTCTCTTAGGTGGTCTTAATTCCCCTATGTCACAAATCTTGGAAAAATTTTGTAGGCAATTTCATTGACTTTTCAAGACAGGGTAGTGACTAGATGTAAATTGCTACAGTCTGTAATGATTAACGCGTTCGGGGGTTGCATAAAAATGCTGGCAGTGATGTAGGTTTTACTCAGTCAGATGGGTGACTGCAGAGGCAAGAGTATGAAATGCTTGTGCATCCTACGATGAAAGGAATTTGGGACTGGAGTGGTGTGTGTGTGTCTGTGTGTGTGTGTGGTCAGGTGGTAAGTAGAGGTGGGAAAAAATCCTGAAGAGGCTGGAGAAGGAAAGAGGAGAGAATGGATCGGGTCCGGGTTCAGCCAATGACTAAAGGGCCTTTAAGAATAAGTTTGGCAGATGTGGAATTTAGCTTCTGTACAATCTGTGCTGTCTGTGATAAGACTGTGTTTGTAAGTACTTGGGGCGGAGGGTGGTGGATGCACACTTGTATGTGTCTGTGCACGTGTGTGTGTGTGTGTGTGTGTGTGTGTGTGAGAGAGAGAAAGAGAGAGGAGAGGAGATAAAGGAATGAGTGGAAGATGACGGAGCCCAGACCAGGCACGTATGGGAGGTAGTGGAAAGGATCCTATGGTGATGATGACAATGTGACACTCTCCCCCATTCTCCATGGAATACTGATCCTGCTGAGATATTGGGATATTGGGAGGGTCATTGCACTTTCCAAAGTATGTGGAATGGGAGAGTTGAGCAAATTTTACGCAGATGGACACAGGATGACTTCAGCTAACATCTGAGTTCTATTTGTGATTAATTATGATGCAGGCAAGACCAAAGTGCAGACTGGATCAAAGGAAATTGTTAGCATTCTCTCTAAAGAAAAAGCAGTGTTTTTTCTTATGGTTCCACTTCATATTGTAATAGAGATATTTAAAAAGTGGGATGGATCTGCACGTGGGAGGAGACCTTCTCTCTGAGTGGGGGAGGTCGTTGGGCTTTTGGGATCAGGGAGGAGAGCTAGAAGGTCCGACCAGGCTGGGGCGGTGTGAGCACAGGCATGCAGGAGTGCGGGGCAGGTAGGTGCTTCCCCGATGGCTTTCCAGAGCTCTGTCAGCAAAGGGAAAGACACAGAGCCCAGTGTGTGTGTGTGTGTGTTTTAAAAATGCATCATCTTATTATTTAATTTTCATTTTAACTAGGTGAACCTTCAAAAGTGTGACATATTTGATCTGAAAACCCTAAAGGAACCTATGGACTACTTGACTCTAGCTAATAACCCTGAGACACTGGAAAAAATAGAGGGTTGTATGAAAGTATGGATCAGACAAACAGAACAGGTAATTTTCAGAAACCAAATATCAGTTTCAGGCACCACGTTACTGAACTAGCCAATGGAAGGAGGTGGCATTCCATTTGCCTAAGTGTTTTACTGTAAGTCCTTGAAAAGGTGAGAGGTTCAGCGTGGCTTTCATAGACAGTCATTAGTTAAGGAGAGATAGCAAGAATTCTAAGAGCTGAAAGTAAATGACTTTATGTACTTGTATCACTAGAAGGCTACACTTCACAATTTTTTTCTTAAGGTCGAATTTTCTTTGGAGAGAACCGCTGTAGGAGTATGAGGAGTTTTCTAATTCAGCGTGTCCTCCAAAAGGGAGCTGGAGACTTAACCTTAAAAAAATGTTTTTGGAAAAGTCCTAAATGAAGGAATGAAGGTGGACATTACATGAAAAAGTAAATACAATTAAAAGTAATTAGCCTAAGGCATGGCATTTTCCGAGGTTATATTGCTCCAGGATTATACAGTAAGCTAAATAGCTGAGAAAACTTCCTGAGGTCAAGGGCTCCAAAAGCTCACTGAAACTCATTAAATAAGCAGTTTTCAATAGTAGACTAGGGTGATTATAGTTAGCAACCATAGATTATACATTAATATTTCAAAGTGGCTAGAAAAGAGAACTTGAAATGTTCCCAACACATAGAAGTGATAAATACTCAAGGTGATGGATACCCCAAATGTTCTGACTTGATCATTACACA